TTGTTGCTTTCTTAACTTCTGCCTACCATGAATGATTTCCCTTCTGTGCTGCCACCCTGGCTTGGAGCCAGTTGGTTATGGACTGACGCTTGTACAAACAGTCTACAGTAGCCCCTTGCAGTTTGACTTTTGCAGACTCCCTGTTTCATGGGTTTTCAAAAAAATATTAATCTAGATTATTTATCATGGATTTTTTCCCTATCTTGCTGGATTTTGCCATAATGTATAGAACTATATATGTATTTATATGCTTAGTATTTGTGATTTTAATGGTTTTTGCCTAACATGTATAAAAATATTAAAATGTTAATTCTAACATATTAAAAGAATATTAAATCCAAATAAAATACACTGGTTACAGTATGTATTTCTTTCGCAGATGAATAAATTCTGCACCATACAGTATGTATATGTTGTTAAAATTACACAGGTTTATGAGTTTAGAAAATGGTTAAGAACATTAGAAGTGTTTTTAAAAGTGTAGGAAGGGTTTATAAGGATGTGGGAAGGGTTTATAAAACATACACACACATATGTATATACATAATATAATGTTACTGCTTTGCTAATTTTCACTTATCGCGGGGGTGCCTGGGAGGTAGCCTCTGCGATGAGTGAGTGATCACTATACAGCATTCATCTTTGAATAGTATCATCTCTCTGCTTGGTGCTCCTTACTGTAGTTTTGATAATCTCAAGACGGGCTTCTCCAAGGCTGCTGAGGTAGTTCTTCGGCCTGCTCCTGCTTGCCAGCCATTGCACTGTTTCCTTCTCTTCCCTGAACATTCTGGCCTCTCTCCCCTTTCTCCTTCACTACTCCACATAGTATTCTTCCGGGGGCTCTTCCCTTCCTGATTGTGCCTTAGAAAATCTGCTTTTCTCTTCAAACATTCCTTCAAGGAGAGGCAGACATTCCTTTTCTTTGCCTTTTCAATTTTTTCTGCTTGCTCTTGTGATAGCCCAGTGGGAATGTATTGTCATGACACGTTAGGAGCCATAAGAGAAAAACAAATAAATAAACACACACACAAACAAGCGAACGAACATCTTTTTGTCTTGGTATCCTCAGATGTGTTACAACTGCGGCCTTGTGAGATTGATAATGTGCATCAAACAAATACTTAGATGAATGTTTTGTTCCTGTAAAATGACGATGTGCTCCATGCCAGGCACTGTACTGATGATAAGTGTGTAGGGATCAACAGGACAAGCTCCTCTTCTTTAAGATGGACGTGATCTGAAGTGAGGTGGGGTAGCAGCTGAGACACCGATGCCACCTTTAAGGCCATTCCCGAAGGAACAGACTACATTTCATTTAGACCTAAAAAAATTTCAGCATCTGGGCTGCTCATCTTTCAAGAGAGGTGAATTAATAGCAACTTAAAATTCTGAATTTTAAGTTACCTATTAATGAGAACAGTTTTATTATAAATTCTGCTACTTGAGGAAATGTATTCTTGTAGGCCAAAGTATCAGGATTTCATAGCATCTTGTGATCTGAGGGGATAAAATGTGTCCATATGTTTCAAGTGATTTGCTGTTAAGTGGAGGTTTGTGTCAATTATAGGCGGATACTTGACTGTCTTAACTGAACTACTTTGTGATTTCTGATTTTTGAGATAAGGTTTAAAAATGGAAGCCTTAGGTATTGATTCATAGTATGTTGGCTAAAGTTGGAGTGATAGTTCTCTAGTTTTAAGTTTTGAAACCTTAAAAATTATTTTCGTCTGATCTTGTGCAAATTAATAATTATAGGGATAAAAATCTTTATCAGTTATTTGAACATTACAGCTTAAGTACTATTCCTATGTACAGTGCTTGAATATACTATCTAAAATAGTTTTTCTTGATTGTTACTAAATATTTATGGTATTATCCTGTGGGCCCTAGTGATATCATTTGAAAATGAATGGTCATTAAACTTTAAAAAATAGAGGTAGTTTTTCAAGAAACAAGAATTTCTAGTTGATAGAATGCTATATCAGGAAGTTGTTTTTTTTTTTTTTTTGCCTCTGCTGTATTTATTTTCTGATTATTTTGCGGATGATTACTTGAGATTATGCAGTTGGGAATAGAACATGAGTTTACTCTATTTTCTTTACTTCCACTTCTTCAATTAATAACTGTGGAGACATTTTCAGTGTTAGTAAAAGTTCTAGTTAATAGTAATTCTTTTTCCCTTCATGCTTATTAAACCCTTGGAAGATACAATTCTTCAAAGTTTGGACAAAATCGATGTAATGTTTTTAGTGACATATATATTGTAGTTAAGCAAAGATATTCAGGTTATAGGGATGTTTACTTTGAATTTAGCTTTTCATAAGAATTTCATAATTAGAAATTTTAATAGTAACAAAGCACACCATAATCGAATGTGGACATAGTTTAATTTGTGCTAGAAATTTTTATTTTAATTATAATGATGTAACAGCTAGTAATGGTGATGTATAGATTTGGCTTAGAAAAAGTTTCAGTGAAGGAAATTATGAATTTTCAGACATAATGAAAGTAGAGGGTATAAATTTGAAAGGAAAAAGTGAGTTTTCTAAGGAAGAAATGAAAACATCAAATTAAAGGAAAAGTAGCAGACAAGGACACAAGACCATATATTGGTTTAAATACTTATGGAAGCAGTTTCAGCACAGCAGTTGGTGGAAGAACCAAATGTCACTGAATAGCACTTATCTTTTTTTTCTGTCCACGCTTGATAACTCAGCATATATATTCTATTATTGTCAACTCTAGCTGACGCTAATGTTATGAAGTGCAATGTATTTTGAAAGGCAGTCTTAAAACGTGGCAACGTAAGATGCACGGGGATACTTTTTTTTTATCGTAATAGAAGACTTTCTTGGGTATCTCTGAACATCAAATCTATGAAAGCACAATTAATGTAAAATGTGTCTTAATAAAAGGAGTCTCATATAGATTTTCTATTTTCTTTCTACATTGATTTTAAGAACTTATTAACTGGACTCAACTTTTGCTACTACAATTTTATTTATTTATTTATTTATTTATTTATTTATGTATGTATTTGGTACGGGGTCTACAGTAGTGAGTGATCTAAGATAAGGGTCTCACTACTAGGTCAGACTCGTAGTGATTCTTTTGTTTTCAGCCTCCTAATAGCTGAGATTACAGGTGCGCGGTGCCACAACCAGTCTCAATCACTGTCTCAGCGTGGCCCGGGGGGCAGGGCTGGCTTGCTACCACAATTTTAGACCCTGACAATTCTTAGACCCCTGTGTAAGCTTTTGAAATATATTTAATATGTTTTAACTCTATTATTGTCTCATTTCTCAATAGAAGGGAAACTCAGGGGATAATAATGGTAGAAACAGCAAACCAAACCACAGGCAGCCTATGTTACCAGGGCATTGGCAATGTTTGCATCTGTGGTTTCGCATGTCTGCCTGCTTTGAGAGTTTTCTCATAAGGTGAAATAGACTGGATAGGAGAGTGTGAATATGTAAGCTACACATACTTGCTTCAGCCATGTCTGTGGAAGAGTAGTTCTCTCTATTCTGTGCTGTTCCTCAAAGCATAAATTCCCTGTCTTTTTCCTCAGATAATTCTCAACATTGAGCTGTGCTACACTACTTGTGAACTTTCTTCAAATCATAATGAATTGTGTGCATGCACCTATCCATTTTTTCATTGTAACTTTAGTGATACAAAATACAATTCCTTTTTTCCGGCCATCTGGAAATAAGTATGTTGAAAAAATGGACCTTGATTCTGTCTGGTCAATTTGTGCTTTACTCTTGGCCACTCTCATTTTTTGTGGTTGAAAGAACACAGATCATTCCAAGTTCTGCCATTTTAAATTTCCCTTCGATCTCTTTCTCCCTGAGGTCTAGCTGACCTGTATGACTTCCTATGAGATTGTTAACATTAGGCCTCCGTTTCTGCTCAGTAGTTTGATATCCTCCCTACACATGTACCACAGACCAGATTTTAGATATTTTCTACCTGATGAATGGATTTTAAGAAGATGGCAATGTAGATGGTATATAGACATAACAGGGAGCCATCTTGATTATTCTGTGAAGATTGGAGAAATTTTTAAACAAAGAGAAAGTTATCATTGGTAACGTTTATAGCAAGTAGAGTAGGGAATTCAGAATAGTGATTAGCGATCCAAGCAGCATTTAAAGAGCTCATGCTTTAGGAGGTAGAATGACTAAGCAGATAAATAGGAGAAGCATAGTGAATTTTTAGGTTAGTGAAATGAACCCTATAATACTATAATGATCACTACATCTGTCAGAACCCATATGATACAATGTCAGATATGAAATCTAAGCTGGACAAGATGGTGTGTGGCTGTAATCTTAAGTGCTTGGGAGGCTGGGACAGGAGGATTACAAATTTGAGGCAAGCCTGGCTAAACAGTGAGGTTCTATCAAAACATAAAGAAGAAATCCTTATGGAATTGCTCGCTTTGTAGATGGTAATGAGTCTGTAGGTTCATTTATTATAGCAGATGTACTACTCTGATAATGGGGGAAGCTTTGTATCTGTGGGTGCAGAAGACACATTGGGAAAAGTCTGTATCTTCACTCAATTTTACCACAAAACCAAAAGTGGTCTAAAAATAGAATCTGTTGAAAAACAATGGCAAACACATTCATTCCATTAATACCTCAGAAGAATGCAAAACATGAGTTAAAATTGACTTTCTCTGATTCAAAATGAATGAATTAATCTATGTGTGAAATTTATGGGCTTAAGAGACATAGCTGTATTGCTTCACCACTAATTACCTCTTTTGATGAACTCTTTTTTAGGTTCCACAGATTTATTAAAATTGGCTCATTTAATCTCATCAATGAGCATCCATTCAACCATCTGCAATAAAGACACTGGTTGTGGGGCTATTTCTAGGTTTCAATCCATACAGTATTTGGGGAACACAGAATGATAAATACTTTAAAAGTTACAACTCAATTCATCTGTTTCTCTGTTACTAACATTTGCTTTTCATTTACCTTTAGGCTTGAAGTTTGAGGAAATCCAAGAAAGATTTGGCGAGGAGTTCTTTAAGATATGCTTTGATGAGAATGAGAGAGTTCTTCGGGCTGTAGGCGGCACACTTCAGGACTTTTTTAATGGCTTTGATGCTTTGTTGGAACACATTAGAACTTCTTTTGGAAAACAGGCCACTCTGGAGGCACCATCTTTCCTATGCAAAGAGCTCCCGGAAGGTGCTCTGATGCTCCACTACTTCCATCCTCACCACACTGTGGGGTTTGCAATGCCTGGGATGATTAAGGCCGCAGGAAAGAAGATCTATCACCTGGATGTGGAAGTGGAACAGGTTGCAAATGAGAAGTCGTGCTCTGATGGCTCCAACCCAGGCAACTGCAGCTGTCTTACTTTCCTGATCAAAGAAAGTGAAAACACCAACATCACGAAGAATCTTCCACAGGGAACCTCCCAGGTGCCGGGAGACCTCCGAATTAGCATCAACACCTTCTGCAGAGCCTTCCCTTTTCATTTGATGTTTGACCCCCACATGTCAGTTCTTCAGCTGGGGGAAGGTCTAAGAAAGCAGCTCCGATGGGACTCTCACAAAGTGCTCAAGTTTGAGGACTGCTTTGAGGTTGTTTCTCCAAAGGTCGACGCCACGTTTGAGAGAGTCCTTCTGCGGCTGTCCACCCCATTTGTGATTAGGACCAAGCCTGAGGCTTCTGGTACTGAAAATAAAGACAAGGTAAGTAAGTAGCCATGCATTTGAGATGGATGATAAGAGCTAGTAATATGAATAATTATTTTGACAAATTACATGTTGACTGTATTTGTAAATATTTAGGCAAGAGAGCTTTAAGGGACATATAGTGGATTACTTGTCCCTGGATGTATATAAAAAGATTTGGCCCTACTCCCAGCCACTTCACATAGGGCCTGCTTCATTCATTAATTTATTTCAGTGCATAAAAAGAAAACATTTATTAACACTATCCATAGTAATTACAAAAATGATAGGACTCGCTAAAAATCTAATATATTTTAAATTAATGAATACTTCCACAGATTGAAGTCAAACTGTGAGAGAAATATTAAGACTGACTTCAACGTTGAGGGTCTTGAGCATCTTATCTTTAAATAAATCGAGGTAAAAAGCCAGCTGTGTGAGGAATACGTCTCTAAATTTCATTATCTAGGAATACTTGGTTTATATGCTACATTTACCTTGATATATTGAACAGTATATTCCCCAAGGATTGTTTTTTTTTTTTTTTTTTTTTTGATCTGAATGCCCTGAGGGGTGGTTTGGCTGGCTGGAGTGTTGTGGGGATCGAACTCCAGCAACCTGAGGCTGACAGCTTTGTGGAAGCAGCCACTTAAACAATTGAGCTAAGGCCAGGCCCACCTCAAGGATTAGAAAGTGAAGATTTCAACACTCATGATTATGTTGTAGTATTGAAACAGAGATTCATCCCTTTTAGAGCACATTCATTCCTGGAGAGACTAGTATGACTGCTTCTATCTTTATTGTGGATTTCTTTGAGCTCATTTTGGGAAATCTGAGTTATAAATTATTGATAGCTGATGAGAAAACATGTTACAGATAAATCTTAAGGTAGTTGGGCTTAAGCATACATTTTATTCCTCAGATAAATTATTTTGAAAAGGCAATTTAAAGGGCCAAAATGAATAATAAATGTAAAACAAATGCAGCGATGACTATTTTTATTTTTGATAATATACTTTCAGTTATTAAAAGGAAAATAATATCAATTTTTAGAGTAGATATTTGAATACATGGTCATTCAGTTTTCAATAAAGTGTCTTTTCAACGTTTTCTATCAGGGTGAATAAATTTTGGTGACTTGTTTTGTTTTCAAGTACTTTGGGGAAGCTGTTGGGTATGAGAGATACACAGGTTGCTGTGAGCTAAACAAAGAAAGAATTGCAGAAATAATGAAAAACTTAGTATATTAGCCACTTTTTGGTCACGGGGACACCTGCAATTTAAGTATAAACGTTTTTTTTTTTTCTGTATTTTAGGGAAGGGTCTGCAGGGTGTTCAGGGTCTCACTACTAGATTGGACTGGTAGTGATCCGCCTGTCTACAGTCTCCCAAGAGCTGGGTTTACAGGCGCGCACCACCACGCCCAGCCTCAATTGCCATCTCAGTGCACCCCGGGGGTGGGGCTGGCACAGCAGGCCTGGGGATTGAACCCCGGCCCCTGCACCTGCTTGCAGGTGCTTCAATCTGCTGAGCTGTTTGGCCGATCCTACACCCACAATTTAAAAGAGTAGATGTTTCTTGAGATTTCAGTCCCTTGCCAGATGGTTCTCAGGTAGAAACAGCATGCAGAGGGCTATGGCTACCGGGAATCAGAAGCAAGGGGATGCTGGGAACGAGATGCTCTTGCAGGTCATGACCGACGCTCCAGTGACCTGGATGTAAACAGCCCCCCCCACCACACATTCATCCCCTGATGAATACAGAACACTCATAAGCCAATCAAATTCCAAAAGCCACTGCTTTTGAGTACATGAGACTTTGGAGGGAAATTCTAGGTTTAAACCATAATATTCATTTTTTTTATTTTACTTTATTTTTTTGTATTTAGTACAAGATCTACGGGGTCTCACTATACAGATTGGACTTGTAGTGATCCTTCCTGTGTTTCAGCCTCCAAAATACTGGGATTACAGGTGCACACCACCATACCCAGTCTCATCTGTGTGCCCCAGGGGTGAGGCAGGGGCTCAAACCGTGGTCCCTGCACCTGCCTAAGCAGGCATTTTAGTCAACTTAGCTATCTGGCTGGCCATCTGCCTTTTATATTTTAATTACTCTTTCAGCTTTTCACGCCAACAAGATAATGTGGTGTTTGCACATGTGGATCTGATTTATTTCACTTACTAATATAGTCTCTAACTGAAACCATTTACTTACAAAAGCCTCAAGTTTCTCTTTTTATATCTGAATAACTCCTTTGTGTAAAAATACCATACCTTTTTTGTCCATTCCTCAGTTGAAGGGCATTTGGCTTTTTCCAAAATTTAGGTATGACAAATTGTGCTGCTATAAACATGGGTGTACATGTATTAAGGTGGTATGATGATTTCAGTTGTTTTGGAAAACAAATGTAGGAGGGGAAGAGCTGACTTGAATGGGACCTCCAATCCTAGCTTTTTGAGAATCTCTATACTGATTTTCTACTATCTTGTTTTTTTTTTTTCGGAACCAGGGATTGAACTCAGACCCTTGTGCTTGCCAAGGAAGCACTTATTCCACTGAGCTATCTCCCCGGCCCCTTCCATACTGATTTTCATAAGGGTTGTATCATCCTGCACTCCCACCAATAGTGGGGAAGGGTTCCTTTTCCCCCACAGCATCTCCAGAATTTGTTATTGGTTGACTTCTTGAGGTTAGCCATTCTTTCTAGGATGAGATGGAATCTCAGTGTTGTTTTAATTTGTATTTCTTGAATGACCAATGATGTTGGGGTCTTTCAATATATTTATCTGCCATTTGTATCTCTTCACTTATGAAGTGTATATTCATCTTAGATACCCATTTTTGGATTGGGTCTTTGAATCTTGGAGGCCTGATTTTTAAAAATTCTTTACATATTCTAGACAGAAATCCTTTGTCTAAAGGACAGTCTGTTATAATTGTTTCCCACTTCATGGGTTTTCTTTTTATTCTGTTGGTGATTTTTTTTGTGATGTGCAGAAACTTTTAAAAAAGGTGAGATCCCAATTGTTGATTTTTGAAGTACTGATTTATGTTCATGAACTCTTTACCTATCCGTATGTCCTTAAGATTTCTACTTGCTTTCTCTTCCAGAAGATTTAGTGTTTCACTTTTGATATTTAAATCTTTGATCCATCTTGATTGTAATTTTGGGATAGTGATAGACATGGGTCTATTTTAAGACTTCAGCTTGTGGAAAGCCAGTATTTCCAGCACCATTTATTAAAGAAACTATCTTTCTTTTAAGGAACATCAATAGCCCCTTTGTCAGGGATAAGGTGGCTGAGTTTTTTGTATTTGTATCTGCATCTTTTAATCTGTTCCATTGATTCTCAGATCCATTTTTTTTTTTTTTTTTTGTCAGTGAAATGCTGATTTTATCACAGTAGCTTTGTAGTATAATTTCAAGTCAGGGATTGTGATGCCTGCTGCCTTTCCTTTGTTACTCAGATGCTTTTGCTGTTCTAGGTCTCCTGTTGTTCCAGATGAATTTTAGAAATATTTTTTCTAGATCTGTGAGGTATACTAATGTCATTTTAATTGGGATTGCATTGAATCTGTATAACAATTTTGGGAGTATGGCAATTTTCACAATGTTTGTTCTTCCCATCCAGGAGCAAGGAAAATCTTTCCATTTTCTTTTCTTTCTTTTTTTTCTTTCTTTTTTTTTATTTTAGGGAAGGGTCTACAGAATGTTCAGGGTGTCACTACTAGATCAGACTCATAGTGATCTGCCTGTTTACCGCCTCCCACGAGTTGGGATTACAGGCATGCGCCACCACGCCTATTCTCAATTGCCATTTCAGGGCACCCCGGGGGTGGGGCTGGGATGGCAGGTCCTAGGATTGAACCTCTAGCCCTAGCCCCTGTGCTTGCTTGCAGGTGCTTTAATCCGCTGAGCTATTTGGTCAGCCCTATCTTTCCATTTTTCTGAAATCCTCTTTGATCTCTTTTTTCAGAGTACTATAATTTTCACTGTATAAATCTTTTACTTCCTTTGTGATAACTGATTACATCTAAAATTTTGAAGTTCACTGACAATATTTTACACCTAATCTAGCTGAAAGGCTGATGGAAACAGATTTAAAAAGTTTTTGAGATAAATGGGGTGTTGCACATTTATTCGCAATGACAGAATTAAGTGATATAGGAAAATTGTTTAGTAGTATTCATATTATAGCATATAAATGCAGTGATTTGAAATTCCTTATGGCAGATAAAGATTTTAGATTGGCACCTTTACGTATTTTAATTGAATAAATTATTATTATTGCTTGTGTTTTATCATATAAACACATTTTAGTAATACTTTAATGTAAAAATATTATATATGTATGTTCAGTAATTACTGCACATCTTGATGGGTTTTAGTGTGGAATAAACTTATAAAATGTGTATTTTAGGGGCTGGGGAGATAGCTCAGTAGAATGAGCGCTTGCCTGGTAAGTGCAAGGGCCTGAGTTCAATCCCCAGTTCTGCCAAAAAAAATAAAATGTGTATTTTTGTCTGCACTTGTAGTTGCTTTGAAACTGAAATTACTCTAGCTTTTTAATTTAGGAAATATTGAAGTTACCAGGTCAGGGTTTTTTTTTTTTTTGTGTGTGTGTGTGTATGTATATGTAACCATGGATTGAACTCAGGCACTTGTGTTTGCCAGGCAAGCATTTATTCTACTGAGCTATCTCCCTGGCCCCTACCAGCTCAGTTTTATGGAAGTTCATTTATCTAGGAGTGTTTAAGTATTTTTTGCCCTCAGAATTCAGGTTAGTATTTTTGAAAGTATGCCTGGACCAAAATATATTATTACCAATGCTATTTGTTTTGTACCTCATAGATTTGAGAAACAACTGTTTATTTTGGCGCTGGGAACCAAACTCAGGACCTTGCACTTGCCAGGCACATGCTGTGACACTGAGCTAAATCCAAGGCCCGATTTAAGAAACATTAATTCAATTTGAATTTACTGCCTCAGAGTTTTTGCCCTATATTTCACTTGG